TATAATAGTTATAAAACATTTTTGTAAGCACTGTTTAGTTCACGTTATAACTGAATCAAATTATTACAGAAACCAATGTTAATAAAGGTATCTCATAACACACTTTCTGCAACATACTCTGTCTCGTGTTAGCATCTGAGCTCTGTTTTTATGTATGATCTTAATAACTCCCGGTGGCTGGATCCATGCCTCTCCATCGACTTGCACTGGAACCCCTTCATCACCAAGTATGGTGATCTTTACTGACCGACACTGGAAAAGAACAAACACATTATTTTACAGAGCAATAAATACTAATGAAACTGACGGGCCACCTGAAATATGTTGATTAATAGGAACTGAACTGTGGCTTCCCTCCAGGATCGTCTCAAGGATGAAGCACTTTTGTACTTCATTCATCATTGAAGACAATTTGTTACCCATTAAAATTAAAACAATGTCAGTGCTTTATTAATGTATAGGGTGGTGGTCATCAAGAGTACCGCTACTTGCCAGCATCCCAAACTGCTGCTAACCATGTTGCGTGCTTTCAAGAAACAAACCTGAGCTATCCTGTGGTGCTGCAGTTTGATGACTCTCGAAACTGCCATCTGCATGCTGCCAAATACCGCAACAACTTCTAAGATTTTATCATCGAATGATGGAGCCCCAAATATCTGAAAGGAAAAGAAAATATTCCATTTTTTTATGGTAAATTTAGTGCTTAGATTGCATGTTCAATGAAACACAGATTCATTTACAGATTTGTTTTCAACATTCAAATCCTCTAACTTATTTACTGTAGAGTAAGTACACTGTCTCTCAAAGTCATAGGAGTGAGATACTGTAGACAGTAGGCAAATACTGTTTCAAAACAGCAATGCTAATAGCATTTCAAATATCTGAATGACGAGGCATATCCTTATATAGGAAGGATGGCATGTTCCAGCATGCAGACTAAGAAATGTTTTTCAAGGCAAGAGGAAAGGCTAATTAAAATCTCTGCTTGGTTAATGTACTTAATATCTAAGAGGTTCTTGAAGTTAAGAGGAATAATGGTGTCTTTTTTCTCAGAAGTGCTTATCTTCTTATATTCTGAATTCTCTGGAAACCAACATCTGAGTCCATGCTCGGCTATTTTAAACACAGCTTTCATACTGAAGAGGATCTTGTTTGCGCTGTATACAATTATCCATTGTAAATATGAAAATTGCTTCTGTATGGAACAAACTCCTGATATCCAGTCAAGACATTGAATTTCCATGAGCTTACACAAAGCACAGGAAGCCTCACGTGTGCCATTGCCACCTGGTGTCCTGCAGAGGAATTCTGCCATGCCACAGGACAAGTCTTAGGCTGGAGTTCAGCTGGGTCTGGCAGGAGATACCATACTAAGGTCACTTGAAGCTTGATCGTTTCATCCTGATATGCAATAGGGAACAACGAGGGAGAAAAAACAGCAGGAGGAATCACTCCAGCAAGAGTTTAACAGGTAGAGAGATCACCTCTCTGAGCGATACTTGGACTACCTCAGTTGGCACTTTGGGCGGAGTAAGCTGCATCAGAGATACCTGAGACCAGACCGGAGAAAATCCTTGAAAGGAGCTCAAAAGCCACAACTTGTCAGGTCCTGTACCCTGACAGAGGATTTCCTGGAGGTGAAGAATAAGAGTGTGCAGATCCAGGACTGTGTAATCCAGATAGTGGCTGCAGCAATGACTCACAGAGGAAGAGAATGGGGAACAGGGTGAGGGGCTTTGCTCCCCACTGCCCACTAAGCCAGCAGGAACCTTCACTCCAGTGCAGTGAGCGGTGGCTTTGGCCAGGAGGTTGAGGAAGGCTTCTCAGGGAAAGGGCTGCATAGCACAGTTCCCATAGTTTAGTGCCACATTCAGATGGTACTTCCTTTCAGAGGATCCCAGGATTGCACAGATAGGTCTTGAGCAGATGTCAAAGAACAAAAGTGCAATTTTACTGGAGTGTTTTGCAGCAAAAGGTTTCTCCATCTGAATTTTTCCAATTTCCATGGAAATTTTTCCTTTTTTCACATGGGGATGTGAACGTCTTGAAAACAGCAAAGATGGTGATTCTGTTACTGCAAGGTAAAAACTATGGAGAGTCCTTGATCTATCTTTCACAAGTATAACTGACATCTACACGGCTAGTTCTGCATGGGTTAAGAAAAAGTAGTTATAAATTTCATTTATTTTGTGCTTCCATTTTAGCAAAAGGATGGGCCAACCACAACCCAGTCTGCTGTGTCTCTCCACCAATAAAACATATCTGTACTGAAAAACAACCTTTTTTTTTTTTTTTTTAAATAACAGCAACCAAATCTCTACGGATCAATGGTCAAGAAACAATTCCCTCCTTTCCTGTTGCAGGTCATGTTTCCAGCCTGCCTTGGGGACGCCAAAAAGACCCTAAATGATGCCTAAAAGATGCCTAAACAAGACCCGCTCAAGTTGGTCGGCATGCAGCTGCCCTGCCTGGCTCACCAATAATGTTTCAGGAATAGTCACAGCTGTCGAGGCAACATCTTTCTTTTGTCCAGATAAGCAGAACCAGCAGCACTTCAGACCACCACCACCACCGCCTCTGATGATCAGTCATTCAAGACTGCACTAAAGCAGTGAATTATTCTCCTAACTCTGCCCAGAACAAACATGTCACTTTGCTGGCACATCTGAACACCAGAAGACTAAGAATATCAGTAAAACTGCTCCAAGACACACACATTTGCTATATATGAGTATGACAGCTAGGACAGATCTCCTCTCTCAGTGAGGCAGTCCAGTGAGAAAAATAAACTCCTAAACAGGAGCTGAGCAGATGTTAGAGATGCTTTCAACTTATGAATATGAACATGGAGTATATAAAAACTTCAGATATCCATATCCAAATATAAACACAACTGTCATCCTCTGACATATACCAAAAATAAGAAAAGGACATTGAAACATGTTTAAATATTTTTTGTGACTTTTACGTATGTGTGTCTGTATATATATATATATACACACATATAAAAGCAAAGGATAACAACTCACAAGAAACCAAAAGCATTTTGGCAAAAAAATACTGAATTGTCTACACTAAGATCACAAGCTAATTTGCAACTACGGTTTTAGGCGATTCAGACCTCACACATGCTAAATCAGGACATGCAGAATTAGGATAATCTGCTAGTAATTACAATTGTTGCACTGTGCGTGAAGTGGATGGCAGCAGCAAGACTGCTCCAAGTTGTAAGACATTTAGGTATCCATGTAGGGTAACGTTTCTTAGGAGATGTGAGGAAGAAGGGAAAAAAGATATCTTAAAATATTTTAGAAGGTAATTGAAAATAGTATTTAAAAAACACATTACTACCCCCACTAAATTATGAGTCACTGCACGCATCAGTCCTCATTTTCGAAATCACCATCCCTTAGTCCAAAGCTGTTCCAAGAACAGGAGGAAAATTCAAATATAAACCACGAGTGATTATTCTTGTCCACCTTGCTTATTGTTAGAATACAGCAAACAGAGGAATCTATGCTTTGAGAAACGTTATTTACAGGAGTTTGTAAAACAATATAGAGAGAAACTATTTGTGTCTCTGTTTATCAGATTAGTTTCCAAAAAATACTCATAGAGCCATTTAAAAAAAAAAAATCATTAAGCCTTACTATGAACATTTTGCTGCAATGGACATGACAGAAGGCAATAGATAGTGAAAAATCATGGGATATATTTTCAATAAAAAAATCAACAAGACAATCCAGTTTAAACTGAAACAGTCTCCCTGAATAAGAGTTGCTATCCAAACCATACGCTATTGCTATTAAAATTAAATGAGAAGAGCAGTTCATGGTATTTATTGCTGGTTTCGCTCAGACAGTTACTTCTCTTTAATGTTACTCACATCATCTTCCTTGGTTCCACCCCAGAAATTAGTCCCACCAGCATAGCTGGGAATGTTTAGCACGGCTATGCCCTGTAGACTTGGAAGGGGGATGTACTGTCCATCACACTGTAATGGATAAAAGCTCATTTAGTATATAAATAATGTGATAAAAGTAATCAGCCATTTTTAACACATGAAGCTTCAACAGAGCTGGCAGGGGAGGAGAGTCATTAATAGATTTGACACAAGATGATTCCCTCTATGCTGTGAAGCACCTCTAATACACACCTCTTCTTCCCAAACTTAGAACCAATTTTTGTAGAGCTGAAAAACATGTAGATACTACATGCTGTGGTATCTACAGTAGAGGTGTTCCATGACTCTTCAAAGAAACATTTTCACATCCCTTATTGTGAAATTCCTCATGCACTTAGACCATGCGCTGTCTATCAAGGATTAAAAATCTTTCTGCGATGAAAAAAGCTATCTCCCTGAGTGCACACAGTAAGATCGCCAAGGACATTACAAAAAGCTTCATTTACCCATTCAGTAACTGGTCTTCCATCCTATATTGGCATTCCCACAATTGCAATACACTTGTTATTTAGGTAAATCCATTAAGCGGGAGTGTTGTTGATTTTGCAGGCAAGAGGTCGCTCCTGTGACTGACCATTCAGTCCTTCTTTCTTACCGCTTTATTCTACAAAACCCATAAGCAACTCCAAGTCCTATGCAACACAATCATGGGGTGACGTAGGTCAATCTCACCATACTTATGGCCAAGAGTAGATTTAAAGACATCAGTGAAATGACTCTTGACTTAAAGCAGTACAACTGCCTGCAGAGGTAAGCCCAATGATTTCAAACCACTCAACTGAGAGTCAAAAGTGCAGTCCTGCAGCAGTGCCACAAGTGTGGATTTGAAGCAAGACAGAAATATAAGGTCATAAATGCTGGATGCAGGTGTCACTTTGTGGATCATGAATTTGCATGTGAAGTTGGCTTTAAAGAAGATTGCTAAATTACTGCAAGTTACCAGTCCCACAGAAGGATCTTAAAATTACACAAATGAAAGAGAAATCCTCAGGAAATAAGGAAAAAATCTGCAGCAATTTTATCAGGAGGGGAAAGAGATGCAAAATTATTTCCAGAATGTACTTAGGGCTCTCTTTTTACGATTTAATCTCAGCCACAAGACAGAATTTAACATTTTAATGAAAATGTGACATTATCCAAAATATGCTATGATATTAATAGATATTGAAATTGATATTTTTAATTTTCCAGTGTTGTGCACCTCATCACACTTTTTAGCATAAGGCTAATATTATTCAAGGCAACACTAAATATGAAATTTCTACTTGCTGGTTTACTTCCAGAAATATTCAAAAATAATTATGGAAAGGTCAGATTTGAATGTCTTATTGAATATTATTTGAATCTTATTCAAAAGATCCTTAAATTAGAATTCTATCTGCAGCATACATAACGTTCTTTCCTGTCATTATATTTGCTAACTACTGCATAATTCCTTGATAATTACTCAATCCTTAGATAACAGCAATCTGCCACTACCACACAAAATCCTCCTAAATCTCAGAGGAGTGAGAAAGATTTCCAGTAACTTAAAATTATTCTTTCAACTTAAAAGTTATCTTCATATAAATATTGTGAACTTCCGTATGAAATACTTAGCATGAAGTAAAAAGAGAAATTATGTATGTTCTCTGTCAAAATCCAGCCTAGATATTCTTTGGGTGAAAATAACTGTAACCATCTCATAGTCTTTTTCTGCATTTGCTAATCATTTATATCTCCTTTAAGTTCCCAGTATCGTGAAGAAGACTTAGATTTTATGTTAGAATTTAAAAGACAAAAAAATAACTATGTTTAGATAATTTACACTGCATTTGTTGTTGCTGTGATAATATCTTGCTTCGTTTGTGTGGTTCTCAAACACCTATTAGAGAAAGTCTCTACTGGTGTAGCTGGGCTTCTTGTGATGCACATTCAGAATCTCCCCTCTTCTGTCAGGAATTTTTGACTAAGATCATCTGTGTGCTCTCCCTATATGTGTAATCAAGCTTTCAGATAGTTTAAAATGAATCTGAAGGATTAAGACTCCTTATCTCTTCCTTCTGTTTAGCGTATGTTCATTTCAGTTATTGTCCTTAAAACCTGGTCTCCCCCTTTGATGCAGTGAACATTAAGAAACATATCCTACCTATACAGTAATTTATTTTTTTTAAAACCCAGTAATTACAAAAAACATTATACTGGGTATGTTGGGATATTTAGGTAGTGACATTTTACTCCAAAACCCCACCTGGGGAACCACCTCTTACATAGCACATTTTTACACAGTGCCTTTGAGGTCAGCATGGGTTGACAGAAGAACTCTAAAAGATTTCAAGAGGAAGGCCAAATTCTTCACTACACATTGCCAAAGCAAAAATACCCATTCTGCCCATAAATAAAACTTACCTCAAGTTGAACTTTTTGTTCTAAGTTCTTGTAAGTTCTCTGCAGTAGTTCTTTTGTGCCAAGAACTCCATACCACATCATGTTTTTCGTCCGACTCCTGAGAAAAGGTAAAACAAGATTCACATATTGAAATACATACATTATTATGTCTTTTATTTGTAGGAGGAGAAAAAGTTAATAAATTCAAATAGAGAGATAAGGCAAAGAAAATAATGGAAACATCTTGGCTCTGTTACTGACAATTATATTACCTGCACTTTTCAGGGTGCTCTTCTCGCTTGTTATTAAATTCTAGTGAAATTTTTGCATCTAACCCAATTCCAAAGTAGTTGTTCATGACACATTTTTCTGAATATCCCTCCCTATTAGAAGAAAAGAGATAATTAGGTGCACATATGCACAGCACCTGGACACACAGAGCTTTGACCAAGATCGTGGTTGGTCTCAGAACAGATACATCAACCAAGAGACATCAAGAGATGTTTCCTCTGAGTCTCCCTGAGGAAACCCAACAGCAGTCCAAGAGGCCGATTGGTTGCTAGCTCCTTTGCAAGTGCAAGTTACTTCCTGTAGGGCAAAGAAGAAACTGTACCATACCCTCAACCAGCACTACCTCCACCATACTCCAAATAACAGTGGGATACGAGGGAAGAGCTGCCCTGGGCACAGCTCCGAGACAGCAGCACCACACCAGGCTGAGCACCCAGGCTGCGTTTAGGCATGCTGGTGCTAGGTGTTTGGCTGATGCTGCTGACACAGTAGTGCTTTATTTTCGGGAAGCCACGGCCCACAACCCAGGTACCATCCATAAGTCTCTGCCAATGGTACACCCAGTGCTGGGAAGCAGAGATAGCTTAGGACACAAAATTTCCACCCCTCTGCTCCAGTCTTTAGGGGAATACTCTTCTTCCTACACTACAAAGTGCCCAGACCTGCTTCAACATCTTGCTGGCGGCTGAGCTTGTGTTCAGACCAGCAGTTTGGGCAGGAAAACCCAGGTCTGAAGGATTCCTGTCCCCCTCCACCCAAAGTGAGTAAGGGAGGAGTAAGTGAGCAAATGTCTCCTATTATTTCTGCTGCTGTAAGACAATTTTGCACTATTCGTAACTAAACCAGCACAATCCAACCGGTTTTCAGACCTTGAGGTCTACTGCTGAATGATAGCAAACAAGAATTTGACAATTAAAAAAAAAAAGAGATTACAAAAAAAGTTAAAAAAAGCCTAAAGAAAACTAAAGCAAAACAGTACATTTGGAAAAAAAATTCTTACAGGGAATCTGGATCCGGGTCAATAAATGGCGTAGCACCAAATGGATCGATGTTTGCTAGCAACATTTTGCTAATAATTGAACTTCCTGCAATAGAAGCAGCTAGACCAGCCCTCAAACCTGATTAAAAAAACAACAGAAAAAAAACAAAAAACCAATTTGTATTTGATAAACAAAGAAACATATATGTCATAATATAAGCCACATACTAAGAGACAAAATTCATCAAATCCATATAAGGAATGATTGCATTTCTATCTCAATTTTTACCTATATTGGTTATCTTTTCGGGTCTCTGGCTCTCTTGAGCAGAAAGGCAGCTATGCTGCAGTGCGGTGGCTGACTCTTCAGGTACCACCATTGAGAAAGAAAAAAAACAAAGAAAATTCAGGATTTCAGGCCAACACTCACTGGCTACATAGTAACCAAATGGGTGACTTAACATCCAAAAGGACTACTGGAGCTTTTTATTTAGTTTAATCTTCATCTCCAAACTGTCCATGATTTTCCTTTGGTCCTTTCCTTTGGAAATATTCCTAAGGAATACGCTTACCATTTTTACAACTGGTAGAGTCATAGTTTAGTTTAATTTGTGAAAAGATCACAGCATCATCATGCCTACCTTGACTAGTATCAATGTCACTCTACAGAACACTGTGTAATGCATGTAAACAAAGAAAAGTACTTTCTAAAAGCTTTCACTTAAATTGACCTAAAGAAAAATGGAAGCTCAGTTCCATTATGCTTTAAGTATACTAATGAAAGCCAACCATATCCTAGGCTGCATCCAAAGCAGCGTGACCAGCAGGTCAAGGGAGGTGTTTCTGCCCCTCTACTCCGCTCTGATGAGACCCCTCCTGCAGTACTGCCTTCAGCTCTGGTGTCCCAACACAAGAAGGACATGGACCTGTTGGAACGGGTCCAGAGGAGGGCCACGAAAATGGTCAGAGGGGTGGAGCACCTCTCCTATGAAGACAGGCTGAGAGAGTTGGGGTTGTTCAGTCTGGAGAAGTCTCCAGGGAGACCTTCTTGTGTCCTTTCAAAATATAGAAGGGGCTTATAAGAAGGACTGAGAGACTTTTCACCAGGGTCTGTAGTGACAGGACAAGGGGCAATGGTTTTAAACTGAAAAAGGGTAGGTTTAGATTGGTCAGAAGGAAGAAATTTTTTATGATGAGGGTGGTGAGGCACTGGCACAGGTTGCCCAGAGAAGCTGTGGATACTCCATCCTTGAAGTGTTCAAGGTCAGGGTGGACGGGTCTTTGAGCAACCTGGTCTAGTGAAAGATGTCCTGCCCATGGCAGAGGGTTGGACTAGATGACCTTTATAGGTCCTTTCTGACCCAAGCCACTCTGTGATTCTATGATTCTAAGATCCTGAATTTCATTTTTCGTCCTCCAGAATCAAACTGAACACTTTTGCCACATCTGGTGTTGTGCCAAACGATCACGAATCTTCTACATTATTTTGCATTTCCTACTATATGATATAAAACAAAGATGTGTATATTGGTTCAAACAAATTCAGGGCATGAAGTAAAAATCATTATTTGATAGCAAGCAGAGAAACAGAAGGCAATATTAAAGTAGTGTAAGGAACAGCAGATTGCAAAATCATAATTACCTGGGCAGATAATCCTAGTGTTAAGCACTGGGAGGTTTTCCTTGCTTGCAGCCAAAGCTGGAGTAGAGAAAGAGCCTGTCTGAGAATGGATACCTCGGCTTGTACGTCGATCTGGAGATCTTGGTGCAGTTTTAACTGCGCAGAAGACGTAAGAGCACTAATCAGACCTATTATGACACTACCAAATACGTAGTTTTTACAGCCTTGAAAATATTTCAAAAGCATTAATTTCATCTGTTACCATTCCATGACAAATGTCCTTCCCTCTCACACCACAATTTTTCTTCTAAATACAGGGAAGAAAACTCAGAAACAGATCAAGTGACAGGCACAAATTAAAATTAACACGTGTGCATGGCATTCAATATGAGGAGTTCCCAACTTATGCTTCAAGCTACTAGCAAAAACTGCCTTATATCCACCTTAAAAAGCAATAGTATTTAATGTTGTAGTAAATTTATGATAAACATGTTAATGAAGTAATACAAATTTAAACTTAAATTCAATCTATATTTACTTATAAATAGACCTATATTATATAGTGTTTTATTATTTATAACAATTTTAATATAGATAGCTATTCTAACCCATAGGGCATGGAAATACCTGAGCCACACTATTTGCTTCAAGCAGCTAAAGTGGGCCCTCTGCCTGCATCAGCTTTTGGAAAACATCAGACAAAACTCTGGCATCTTTATCTACAACCAAACTAAAAACTGCAAGGGAAGGGAAAAAGCCATGTTCAGACATGTCTTCTGCAGCTACAGAGATAGTGGGGGACATCAGTTTCCCATCATCTTTTCTTTTTCACAAAAAAACTCCAGCAATTCCCAAAATAATTGAAATCACTTATTTGTTAAAATTCTCCAGAAGATGGATCAACAAAAACTTGTGACAGATAGTAAGGTTTGGTAGCTGATGTAATTGTTGGTGACAAAGGCTCAGGAAAAAGAAGGGGAAGAAAATCAAGGGGAAAGAGAAGATGTTCACAAAAAGTAACTGGTAGCTCAGTGTGGCCAGTTATCCCTGGAGCTGCCTCTGGAGGTGATGAAGAAGGACAGGCTTTTCAGAGGGCTGACCTCAGGTGCTCTAATTTACTTTCCTGGCAAAACTTGTTTCATGCAAACTGAGAAAATATGGCAGTGCCTGCTTTAGCCTGAGGAAGTTAATCTTTGTGAAATTCACTCCCGTCAGACATAGCCAGAAATTGGTGTCCCAGGGAAGAAAGCTGGGTGCTTTGCTATAGCATTTCCATGTGCATGTAGAAAGCTTTTGCACACCAGATGATCATAGACATTTCTTGGCTACGTCTGCTTGAAATTATCTCACATGTTAAAACTACTTCAGCTTAGGGCAACTTCATCCTTGACCATCTGAAGAAGCTCAGAACAAAAAATGATATGATCTCAAAGTGATCTGATATATTCCTCTCAAAACTTGAAAAGTAATTCAGCAAAAACAGAATTATTAGGACTAGCACCAAGCAAGCAGAAGAAAACCACCACCAGGAATGTGGTGGGAAGGATAAAATACACCCTTTTCTATGGCAGGAGGGGGACAGATCAGTTCACGTCAATCATGGTAACTCAGCCTGAGGTTAACATGGACGTACTGTATGAAGACACTAATGGAAAGAAAGAGCAGAGTGGGAAATTCTAGAGACAAAGGTAGTAACAAGAACCATGGTTTAGAAATTGTGTTCAAATCAGTTCAGGCCAGGCTACAGGCATTCACTTTTTTTTTTTAAAGTGATGATAACCTAGCATGGAACAGTTGATGAAATGCCAAACTCTTCATCCTCTTGTATCCCAGGAATAAGATTACACACCTTTCTGGATGACTTGCTTAAGTCAAACAGAAATTATTAGACACGGACAGGGATAAGTGGTGAAATTTTCTGGACTGTTTTATATGAAAGGTCTGCCCAAATGGACAGCTCCTTCTGACTTTAACATCTGTGTAACAGCCTCAGCAGTTATCACAAAATGCTATAGTATTGCATGATAACAATACAACACAATGATTAGTATCCGTGCACGACAAAACACTGTAATAATGTTAAAAATGAAAAGAAATAAAAACTGCAAGTGAAATCTAACGAGAGTTATTAAATATTTAGATTAAGATAATTAACATATGGAAACATATTATCTTCATCAAATGACCAGGAAGATCCTCAGAGGGAAAAATATAATATTCAGAACAAAATTAATGGTAATTTTTCATAATGCTACTGCAAAATTCACAACGCTATTCACACAGGCTGTTCTCTCTGTACTTGGGAACGAGGCAGTTATATTAAATAGGAAAATCAACAGAGCAGCTGCTCTTTATTTGACAGATGAGACTCCTGGGGATGACTGCAATAAAGATAAACTTTTGCTGTTCATGCTCTGATAAAAACTACAGAGCCCTAATGAGTAAAAATGATGTTTCATTGCAGATAATTGAATTCATGTTTCACACTTTGTCCCTAAACACCTATCTTCCACTGACAGCATTAATATGCACTCTATTTCACACATACCAGATGTATGAAGAATAATATAGCTCCCCAATGAACGCAGAAATTTTATCACCAAGAAACAAGGGGTTTACATATATTTCTACATATGGATATACATATGTGTATATTTTTATTTTATTATATATTTATGGCAGTAGGATTGGGTCATCTATAGGGTCAGAATCCTCTATGAGCTATTATTTAAACTGGACAACCAACAAGCATTGATTCCTATAACTAAAGGAAAAGGAGAAGGGCTAATAAAGAGACAATTACTGGAGAAAGTCTGATATCGATTCCTGGACAAAAGGAAATGTGAGATTCTGAATCAACAGAAGCCCCAAGAGCCTAATGTTGTATTTCTAAGGTAGGAGCTACCAACACAGGCACCAGCTTCAGAGCAGGGCCTCATGAGGACTACACTTTTTGAGGATGTTGGTGTGGGTTAGGGTAAAAGAAGGAGGTGCAAATCCCAAACAACTTTGCTCATTTTGCCACAGGAAGTTGCTCACCAAATATCTAGAGGATGTGTTTTGCTGTCCACCAGCTACCAGTGTTTCTCCATGAGTTGCAGATCATCTTGAGACCTCACCTGCAGTGCATCACTGTCCATTTTGATAATATGGTAAAGACTGAAATTTCCACCTATAGTAAGAAGCAGCTTTCCTAAAATTACTATGCAGCTTGAGACTCTTCAACAACCCCAGCACATGAACTACCAGTCAACACAAAATGCAGTATTGATGTTTGTGATGGAAAATGTCCAAACATGATCTCTCATGGCTGGATTGGTTTGGTGCCAAAAATCAAGCATGAGAGGATGGAAGTGAGGGTCCTGTATAGACAAATCACCCTTCCTTCTTCCACTGCAGCCAGTCACTGGCAGATTTCATAAAGGACACATGAAGGAGAGAATTTACCTTACCATTTGAATTTAGGAATTAGTACTATCTATGCTATTTCAGGAGATGACTCTTCTCTATATATCATTTTACAAACCAAACAATGAATAGCCAAAAGGAAAGCTTAGTGACAAAATGGGCTATTACTTTATGAAAATGCTACCTTCCAAGCAAGTTGTTTTAAACTCAGATATTCTGATTGCTTTGTACAATTAGTGATACAAATAATACAACTGGGTTCCTTCTGTTGCATTTTAAAACCCAGCATGGGCCACCCACACTGTCGTTCTTTCTCTGGAGAGTAACCTGCAGAGCCCCATAGTGAGGACAGAATGATGGTCCTACAGGAAAGCAGGAGCACTTGGACAGCAGCAGCTGATAAAGTCCATCCGACCAAGGACAGAGCAGGTAGAGGCTCTGGACCTTGGAAAGCAAGAGTAGCTTGGTATAGTGGCTTGCTATATGGCTTGCTATACAGAAGCTAATAGCTGCAAGGAAATAGCTGGACTAATGACCTGTATTTGTGACAACGCAAGAAATTTTTCATGCGAAGGAGCTCTAGGATACCAAAGACTTCGATTCAAATTTCTGTTCTGGATAAAACAAATAGAGGGGGTGCCCTTAGTACTGCCACTTGTCAGGAGACTTCCATGTTCCAGTTTCTATTATATCCTTTCCTGTTTTACACTGTTCCACTTCATATAGAAGACTTAAATATTCATTCTTTCTGTTCTAGTAACTGTCTCACGGTAAGTTCCCAGCTGAGACATCAGGGTTTTGTTGTCAATACAATGAATATGTCTGTTTCACACAATTTGAAACCCCCTGAGCTAAAATGACTGACAGAAATTCCTGTAATATGCCCTAAAAGGCCTACGACTGAGAAATGCTATTGCCACCGTTACCTAGGCTCTAGTCCCTGCTCAGGTTCATGTAGAAAGGTGAGTGTAAACGCTGGATTAAATGCAGGCACTTCTCTCCAACAAACACCTTTTCAGCTTTGTAAACACATTCCAAAAGGCTGTTATCTCATCTCCTGCATTCTTCCCTTAACTTTTATTTATTCAAATCTATTAAAATTCGTGACTAGTTTCCAGTGAAAAAGATGCTAGTATTTTTAATTATGGAGCCAACTATGATCCATAATGCAACCATAAGGAGACTGCATAATTTTAAATTACTTTATTCCTAATTTACTCACTTGATGGGGACTCAAGTTCCTTTGTATCTTCCTCTTTTTCCTCTTCTTTGGATTCATCCAATTCTTTGCTATATTCTAGTGGAGACTGGTTCACTTGTTCTTCACTATGAGCATTCTGCTCATCCACAACTGATTATTAAAATAAAAGACAGAAAGTTTCAAGATTTTTAAAGAAAAACTGCATACATGGAAAATTAGCTTCTTTTTTTCTGTAGCTTGAAGTTTAAAAGATTTCTATTGCCAATTCAGTGAAAAAGAGTCTAGCAATCCATTGTCCATTGATAAAGATTTGCTGCCAGAAATTTTCATTTTGTTGAGGATAATAGTTACAAAAGAAGTACCCTTTTATATGTGCACATCCGTGCATACATACGTATTCATATACGCAGTCATCAACAGCCAAACAAACTGCATTTCTTTTCCTTGCAGCTTGTAATAAGCATATAATTTTATCTCTGTAAGAATGTAGAAATCAAATTTTAATAATGAAAATTTATGCTGGTTAAAAAAAAAATCATCATTATTCTATCAGTAAGGATCAAAACATTGCTGATGTGCACCTTTCTCTGCTTGTTCAATGATCTGCCTCACAGCCTTCTTCAAGCTGTTTGCACGAAGCATTAACTGTTCCCTTGGTTTGAAGAGTTTCTGGGTGGAAGACTTTGAGACACACTCTGCTAATTGCTCTTTACTTTCAGACAAGGATTCTTCACTTGAAAATTCCTCTGCTTCTTCTTCCACAATGGGGGGAGTGATGCCTGGCAGAATGGGAGCAGCCTGGGCTTCTGTGTGAAGAGCCTGGAGCAATAGGTCTAGCTTCTCATTTAACTCGGAGCACTAAGACAAAGTGGAAAAGAATACACAAACACAAAACACCCAGTGAACATGTGAACATTTTCAGGAAATTAAGTACCAGTTTATATTTAAAACTGTAGGTGTCTATGTAAGCATTTATGTAAAATCCAAACACAGGTTCAATATTTCGGAACGTCAGATTATCAGTAGGTCTGCATGGTTTTTTTGCAGACATGCCCTATGACACCTAACCAAATTAGAGCAATTATAACAAAAAAAACCCTGCACTCAGGTTAAAATAACATACTGTGCTAAACTCAGCCTGCCACATAACTAGGGTACAGATCAGATCTTACTCCTCTCCCGATGGCCTGCAGCACAGAGAACCACCACAGATTTGCCCATACCATGCATTATAAGAAATTATGGGTGCTCAATACCCCAATTTGGAGGAATAATGTATGGAGACATGCCCAGCTGTTGGACTGAGACACATGGGGCTGTTTTTGCAACACAGCTGTACATTAAGCAAGTGAGTTGTCACAGAGCAAAGAGGCTCAAGCCAGAACCACACACTGTCAAACACCCCTACCCATCACTAAGCAGTTGCTCTCTTTAGGTACACTGGAAAAGAGATGATTTTCTGTGCTTAAGAGAAAGGAAGTCAACACTGTCTGGCCTTGGAACAGTAAAAAAAAAACAACTCATTTTCTAAAATGTGCACTGAATAGAAACGTGAACCACAAATTGCCATTTAGCAAGTACATTTCCTGACTCTGGGATTGTTAGTGATTTTGTTTTCTTCTTTTCTTTTCAGCTCATGTAACTTTTGTGCCACATATGAAATCCTCCTGTTGTTTTTCTTCCAGTGCTTTTGCAACATGATCTCTACAACTTGCAGCTTAAACCACTATTTTTAACATTGTAGTCTCTCCTCCCTTCATTCTCCCAGCATACTCTTGCTTCATTATCCTCTTGTTTTCCGGTAGCTAACTTAATCCCTAAAACTACGTATCTCTATGTACATTACCATGTACTTCATCTTTTGTGAAGGAAAAAGTGTAAGGAATTCACAGAGATCTTAGAATTTAAAGATGGTTTGGAAATAACTGTTCTATGCAATAAGAAGAGAAGAATTTTAAAGTCACTGGTTGAAATGAAAGCCAAGCTGGGCATCCTGGAGCAATCTGAAAATTAAACACCCATGAGCTATAAACTTTAACAAATCCACAACTTTAAAACAGAATGTAGTTATAGTCTTACTTTAATGGCCATGGCATCAGCTTCCTCTGCATTTTCCATTGGTTTTTCGTAAGTCTTCCCAATTTTGGCAACAAAATCCTTTACAGTTTCACATAATATTCTTCAGATAAGAAAAAGAAGAGGGGAGAAATCAAATGAAATAAAATAGGTATGTCTTGAATATTAAATTCTTATGGCAAATTTATTTATATGCATACTGCTATACATCATTCTTGTTAGAAACTGAACTCTGTGATCATACTTGCAAAGCAGATAATACTCTTCCATAATTTGCAAAGTTCAAGCGCCAAGCTTTAAAACAAAAACTCTTCCTCCCTTTTATTTAAGCCTTTGCTCACATTGTATCTAAGTCTCTTAATTCTAAGAACTGAAATAAACATGAGTAATTTTATCCATTCCCTTGCTTGTACACCTTCCATACCAGAGGAGTTAACAAACTTGCATTCACTTTGATAACTTCAAACCCAGTCTTGCAAACTCCCATGCAAAGATGGAGCCTAGAAACCATGGAGAAAATCTACTGACTTTAATGGAGCACTTCTTAGATGAAAGCATATGGCCACACACGTCCCATTGCACAGCTCATGCTTTTGAATCACAGCTGACCCTGAGGCGTATCTATGTAAACTGCAGTGGCTGCAACGAATTTTCATTGTGTAAATCAGAGAAAGACGTGGTTCTTATTACCTACACTGCAGACAGACAGCAAACTTACTAATGAGGTGTGGATAATTGCTTAGTACTGTTCATTTGGTTGAAATTTACTGGACAGAAATTAAACAGATTAAACAAAATACAGATCCAATTTAGAATCTGGAGTTACAATAATATCCTGCAGCTTAACTTTCAACATGTGCTATGTATACTTTAAAAATGAAATTTTATTAATTATCAGGAAAAAAAAAAGACATAATGACATTCATATGTATTTTTGAGGATTCTATGACTGGTCTTTTGCATATGGCAAAGTACAAGATGGGTTTTTTTCACAGAAAAGGTATACACAGAATACTTCTGATGTCAGATGATGTGCATGATTTGCCAAGTAATTATCTCTCATTTTTAAGTGTTTCAGTTTGGGGAAAAAAAATCCCTATTGTCTGAGACCACTATTGATTGAATTGATACAGACAGAGCTATGACAAAGCTACTTAGCCTGCAGTTCTGCTTCACACTGGTGAAGTTATTTGTCCTTTTAAAGATAAGGATATGCATAAAACAAAACAGAAGAAATGTAATGTGACGTAGATCTCATATTCGCATTAGTAACAGTAAGTTTCACATTTAAGCTGCCCGCTGATTTGGACTGATTTAAATTCACTTAATATCGTGATTTTTTTAAATGTTGATGTGTTTAGTATTAAGCTATCCAGTACAATTGTACTACATAAAAATTTTGCAGAAAAAACATCCACTCTAAAAGATATAAATCAAGATATATTAAGCCAAGCCAGCTGAGCCAGCCATAAGAAAATCAGGCTTAGATAGAAGGTTATTATTATGATGATGATGATGTTACACAGAAGATTTATCCCACACATCGTACGTAAAACTGATCAACTCACTTGGCAGATGATATGACAACTGAGTGCTGATCAGAATTGAGAATTTTTGCAAGATGAGCAGCAACTGAGTCCTCATAAGCAGATATCTGAAAAGAGAGAGAAAAAAGACTTCAATTTCCACACGTTTCAGCAGCTTAACACCAAGCAGTGAGTTAAAACGCCTCCAAAAATAGCAGGATTTCCATTTCAGATGTAATACAACGACAAGCAGCTTACAATGGAGATCCTACCTGCATACTATATTTTATGTACCAGATTTTTAATATTGAAAGTAACACCGCATCTGAGAACTTGATCCACAGTTCTTTTCCTCCAGTAGAGAAAATAGTTATTTCTAGGCTAAAAATAGTCTATGAGGCAGAAAAATATCTACCTTCTTTTTAGATTTATAACAACCTAAGTTATTATAATCTAATATCTTTTATTTCTTAAACAAGCAAAGTTTCCCTCAAACTAAGTTGCTCAACTAAGAATAAATCAAAAGTTTATAGTTATAGTCTAGAATTTTCTTTCTACTGTCAGATGGGTTCTTACTCCCCAAGTACCCCTACTGACAAAGGCTGCTAAACTGGTATAATGTTATCAAAACCAATCCTTAAGGATCAAACCATTTAGAGCTTAGTCTTTACAAGAACGTTCGAGACAATGAATGTGTGCATTGTCCGTCTTCTCTTGCACAGAAGAATTATAAGTTCCAAAATACTCAGGAAAAGATTCATAATGGATCAGAAATGCATTCTCATACACTATATCCTGTCTCAAAATAGATATGGATCCAGACCGTAATTTTAAAAGAAAATTCTAACCAAATTCCAAATCTACAGCTAAAAATAAATGCAGTTCTGAAATTTTCTGACAGCTTCCTTTAAGAATCTCTTAAAATATCTCAGTGTGTTTTTACCTTTTGTATAGAGCAGCAAGATACAGAACCTTTTTTTTCTCTCCTAAAACCCAGTCTTAGTTGTAGAACTCTGACAGTAAATCAGTTTCCATTTCAAGGGAAAAAACAAGATGTAACCATCTGATCTGTAAGAACAAACTACTGTTGTTCAAACATCAGTATAAGATTTCTGGAACCAAATCAAGGGAAATAAGTCTCCTGAAACTTGGGGAAAGAGAAAAAAAAAGAACTGGATATATACTTCTATTTACTTTTTGAACTGTTCTTTAATACATTACCTATTGTAAGGTTAATTATTCTTTTTCTGAAATATCATAACTCAATAAACAATGGAAAAAACATTAAAATAGATATTGAACAGGATACTCAAAAGAAAATGGCTTTTTCCAACTCAAGAGTAATGGCAGGTAACTATAGACTACAGAACTGATTTTCCAAAAAAGAAATTTTCTATCAGCAGTTCCTTCCGTTTTCAGGAGGAGGTAAACACAATTTCAAAGCCAGAACTAACTAGAACAAAATGTCTATTTTTTCCTTTACAAGACGAAGATACACTTAAAAATTTTAACTGTCTTGAAAAAGACAAAGCCTTGGCCTGCATTGCTGACACTGAAAACAGAGCTGTGTGCAAAGCAACCCCATTAAAATCCCAGCCAGTGGAACCCCAGCCTTTTTGCATCTCTATATCCAGCAAGCTGTCAAAGGTTATAACCTCCTTGCCAATTAAAACAGCCTGAATTATTACCTTATTCAAGAACCTGCTGATTAATTATTGCTTCTCAAGTACTTTTGAGCTAAAGTTGATATGCATTAACTTTCTTAGGAATATATTATTTTCTCATTTTTAGTCAGACTTTTCATGCCAATTAATTTGATTAAAGCATTTCCCTTTCTCTCAAAATTGAAACCTCATCAGATAGTACAAGCACAAGTCTAGTCTGAAAGACAGACTAAGCTTTTCTTTGAGGTCACTAATGATTTTGAGCTCTCCAAAAGAACAAAGAGGAAGTTGGGTGGTATCACCTATCTAACTCACGCTGCAAAAAGCTTCTCTCTTTCTTTCAGAATACAACTCTTGCCTTCGAAATGCTGGGGTTTTTTCAATGGTTATTCCAAACTCAAGATAGCAAACATTTTGCATTTACATATATATGAAAAACATATTTTATATATGTTATTATAGTATATATATTATTATACAATAATAGAACACTAAATC